ATGTATAGCAATACCCGTCTTATGAAGCTCATCCTTATTTAATTTAATTAAAGAATGACCACGGCAACTTCATTTTTCAAATGACAATTAGCTATTAATTTCGTAAAATTTGATAACATTAGGCCATGTTGATTTGATTATATGGATGACATCCGCGCGCGCATGAATTTTCGGCCGTTTCCAAAAAAAAAAGTTTTCAACCATACTGTTAATCGTACAAAACAGTTGCAAAATGAGCAAATATATACCGTAAGTTGCAAAAAGAATATTAAAAAATGATAAAAATGTCGCAAAATGCCCAAATCAAACAAAAAAGACGAAAATGTAAAAAGAAATAAATTTAAAGAGTAGATTATTCACCAAACCATACTCTGTGTCATTTTTTCAACCTTCATGACCACGCAGATTTCATAATGAAAGCAACCTTTTTTTTTGCAAAACTTTTTTTTTTTGCACGCGCGCATCAGTTTTGGGGTTCCCAGAGGATGTCATCCATATAATCAAATCAACATGGGCTTAGTCATTTTTAAAAGTCTTACTGTTTGGGACAATGTTATTCTGATACCTCACAAGTAGTAATTTCCAATATAGATGTACATTTTAAAATGCATTTTCTTGTAGGGCAAAAATAATAGACAATTGATTTTTCAAAACCACTTATTTTTTAATCACCGTCAGTTATTAATAGTTCACTGTAAACTGAAATTTAATCTATTTTTCATAAACACTCACACTTTGACTTAGCAGAAATAAGAGAGTTGACATTACTTACCATCGAAGATTCCATATTGTAAAGTCGGAACAACATCCTGCCAGTAACCCTTCAGTGGAACAACCTGGGAAAATTCAAAACGATGAAACGGTCAAACGTAAGCACAGGTATTGATTGCTGGGAATAGATTTATCGGGTTGGTTAGTCACTGATTTTTTTAAATTAAATGCAACCGATGTTTCTGTTGACATCACCGTCTTTATTGCAATTTCTGCAAAAGGCTGTGCAAACAATTCGAATGAGTTTTGCCAGTGACTTCATCAAATTAGGATATAGATTATGTATAATTATGAAGTAACATTACATAAAATTACACGAAAGTATCTGTAAGCTAACATTCAATTCGGTTTTATTTTATTTTATTTCATTTTTTTTTTATTTTACTTTATTTTATCTTATTTTTTTGAAATTGCAACGGCCACTCACGGCTGATTATGTAGGATGTCTTCTAGCATAATCATAGCATATTCAAATACTTAACATAGAGTAAAGCAAAGGAACAAAAAAATCACATTAAACTTTATTCAGACAGTGTCATAATACACATGCGATTGACATGCAGGCAGAAAAAAAACTAACTTGATATACATGATAATAATAATAATATACATCATCTGTCCCAACTGCTGTTTGATTTTTATTTCTTATCTTTCTTAAAGTTTATTCAGTATAATAATCCATTTGACAATGAATGAGTAGACATAAACATAACTTTATATATTACATATAAGCATAAAGGTTCATCTGTGTTGGTATAAAACATCATGACAAAAAGGCTAAAAAAATTTACGTCCACATCTCTTGCCATGGTGAAACAAACGAGGGACAGCGTAAAGTAACATTGTAAAAACAGGTGAACATCAACGATCAAGCTACGCCAATTCAGAAGTATCCCAGCATATACACATAGAATCTCCAGGACACTCCGTTTCTCTGGACAAAGCTAAAATTATGGACTTAGAACCGGATTTTCTTCTAAAAGGAGTGAACGAGGCTGTGTAAATTGGGGCCAACTGTCCATTACTGAACAGAGACCGGGGGCGACACAGGTTATCTGGCACGTATGGCTCTCTCCTGCAATCACGTGTTTCCGACGTCACGTCCCGGAAGCTGCAGTCCACGGGTACAACCCGTGAACAAAGCTGACGGAGTCAACCGAAAATTTGGGTAAGTCCAAATTTACTTCAGGTTGGACATAAAGTTTCAGCCTTCTCGTCATAACTGTATTCATATCCTAATAATTATATAGTAATAATACATGCATGTAAAAATGAATAGGGCACACTTTATATAAATGTATACACATGCTAATAATAGTACATATGGAGCCCCAATATTTTCTAGAAATAACCTTTACTACTCAAGAATGCAATAAACGTAACACGTATTTGAAGAGCTTAGTATTGTATTTTACATGTTGAATATTTTTTGTTGTTGTTTAAAAGTCTGACCATGTATGTCCATTAACTGCTTTTGTTTGACCATTAAATACAAAAGTTAGATAATCACATATAATAGTAGCATGTCCAAATCACTGCTGCAATACCAGGGGGTCCAAAATCTTACCAAATTCTACCCATGTGCTAAATATGATTGTCATTTATAATTCACCCATTCCCTTCTCGAGTTATGCTGCTCACGCACACACACGCACGCACGCAGACACACATACAGATATACATACGCAGGCAAGGACACGCGCACACATGCAGAAATCCACGCACGCACATACACGCACACACAGACATACACACGCACACACGCACGCATACATACACAAACACACGCATGCACACACGCATACGCAAGCAGACGCATACACACATGTACCCATGCACAAAAATATACACACAAACACATGTACACACACAAACACATACACGCACGCACACATGCGTGTACAAACATAACAAACGTGCACGCACACACAGACAAGAACGCACACACACACACTAACGCACACACATACACATACATACAAGGTGTTTCATGTGACAAAGACACATTTATGCTAGAACGTGGTCCAATTTTTTGTAGTCGTGGTATTTTTAAGCTCCACGGTACCCAGATGTTCTGCCGTGCTGAAGGTCAGCGTCACTTGGCTGCCTCGTGCAAAAACCTAAACAACAATAAAAAATCGCGACTGTTATATGCCTTCTTCGCTGTGCTTGATATTAAAGTGAAATTGCCAGAGAGTCATACAGAGGCTACATTCAAATTAAAGTACTATCCTATCCAGAGCCGAGTGTATCTGCTTCTAAGCCTGAATGTGTTAGGGTTAGGATCGGGCATCCGCGTATGTACATGTAACCCTACACACACAGTGACCACAATGGAACGTATTTTTTAACGGACAAAGAAGACACGGAGCAAAAGCAATACAAATTTATGCCGGATACGATTGTCGACTCCAGCCCGCTAGGATCATATTTCGCAGAAGCGCGGGGATTCCTTATTTGGAACCTGTAAGTGACGCCGAGCCCGAAGAACTGACCAATCAGAATCCGTAAAAACCATAGTGCTTCATCGGGCGGG